AATTTCTGCCACCTCCATGCGGCTCCTGGCCTCTGGGTTCTGGGTTTCGGGGTGTACTTTAAGATCCACAACTTGACCCTAAACCTTAAACCCAAATCAAAGCCAGGCAGCTGTAGACCCCAGAAGAATGCTGCACTCCTTGGTAGCCCAGTAACATATTGTAATAAGGGCACCTTCTTTTGGGGCTACTTACTTTATAAGGGAACCCTGAAACAAAAAAAGGGAAAAGGGTACCACTGGGCTACCAAGTTAGATACCCTAAACCCCTAAACCCTATAAACCCTAAACCCTGCCACCCACTGGGCTACCAAGACTCATAAACGTGCGCCGTCTCGGAGCGAGGTGGATCGCAAGCGACGCCGCGCACGCCATACGACCACTCGGCTCCGAAGACCTGAAGCGGGCAACGATGGGTGATCTTGTGGGTTTAGGGTTTAGGGTTTAGGGTTTTGGGGCTTAGGGGTTTTATGAAGCTGACACCATGCCCCATTTGTTCTACTTGCCTCCACGCCAATGTGGAAGGCTCCGCCGAGGGCCGGTCCAAAGTTCAACACGTGGTTGGGGCCCACGAAATTCCTTCGCATGTCTGAGAGGAGTCTGAGGAGGGGGAGGGGGTTCATGCAGGCAGCTGGGTCAATGGCTCTAGACAACAGAACTTGTGTACCCCTAAACCCTAAACTCAAACGGTGAATCAGGAGGCCGATTGAAAGCAAGTGTCTCCCCGAGGTTGTACACGTGCACCTCCACCGCCTGCGGTGCCGTGTCGCCAGTCAGGGGGCTGCGGTTGGTGGGGCTGCGAAGCTCGAGGTCCGCTTGGTAATCACTAAATTTCATTATTTGGTGGTTTTTCCAGGCTGCCAAACTAACGAAAATCCCTATGTTTTGGCCTTAATTCAGGGACCAAATTGCGCAAACATTCACAAATTTGCCATTTCGAGGGTTTTCCAAGGCCGCCAGACTAGCGAAAATCCCTATGTTTTGGCCTTGATACGGAGTTTGGTAAGGTCCAAAAGGGTCAAAAATCACTAAATTTCATTATTTGGTGGTTTTCCAAGGCTGCCAAACTAACGAAAATCCCTATGTTTTCGCATTTATTCAGGGTTTGGGAAGGCCCAAAATGATCAAAAAACACAAAAATGTGCCATTTGGGTGGGTTTACGGCTGCCAAACTAGGGAAAATCTCCTTTTTTGCACACCTGAACTCAGGATTTGTGAGAGCCCAAAATGGTCGAAAACTACGCAGTTTGCCATGGGGATGGGTTTCCAAGGCACAAAATGATCCAAAATCATGAAAATCTGCTATTTGGGGGGCCCAAAATGATCAGAAATCACGGATTTTTGCCACCACCCGCCCTCCCTAAACTATCTAAACTATCTAAACTATCTAAACTATCAAAACTATCAAAACTATCTTTAATTTAGATAGTTTAGATAGTTTAGGTAGTTTAGGCCTCTCCCCCAACTATCTAAACTATCTAAACTATCTAAACGCCCCTGGTTTAGACCCAACCCCCCTCCCTTAAACTATCTAAACTATCTAAACTATCTAAACCCTCCCCCCCGGTTTAGATAGTTTAGATAGTTTAGGTAGTTTAGGCCTCTCCCCCAACTATCTAAACTATCTAAACTATCTAAACTATCTAAACTATCTAAACTATCTGGTTTAGATAGTTTAGATAGTTTAGGTAGTTTAGGCCTCTCCCCCAACTATCTAAACTATCTAAACTATCTAAATCCCCCTGGTTTAGACCCAACCCCCAGCCCCCTAAACTATCTAAACTATCTAAACTATCTAAACTATCTAAACTATCTAAACTATCTAAACCCCCCCCCTGGTTTAGATAGTTTAGATAGTTTAGGTAGTTTAGGCCTCTCCCCCAACTATCTAAACTATCTAAACTATCTAAACCCCCCCGGTTTAGATAGTTTAGATAGTTTAGGTGGTTTAGGCCTCTCCCCCTATTATCTAAACTATCTAAACTATCCAAAACCCCCTAGTTTAGATTGTTTAGGTAGTTTAGGTAGTTTAGGTAGTTTAGGTAGTTTTGGGCTCCACCCGGGACCCAAGCTCCCACCCCTAAACTATCTAAACTATCTAAACTATCTAAACTATCTAAACTATCTAAACTATCTAAACTATCTAAACCCCCCCCGGTTTAGATAGTTTAGATAGTTTAGGTAGTTTAGGCCTCTCTCCCAACTATCTAAACTATCTAAACTATCTAAACCCCCCTGGTTTAGATAGTTTAGGTAGTTTAGGTAGTTTAGGTAGTTTTGGGCTCCACCCGGGACCAACCTCCCCCCCTAAACTATCTAAACCACCCCCCCGGTTTAGATAGTTTAGATAGTTTGGGTAGTTTAGGCCTCTGCCCCAACTATCTAAACTATCTAAACTATCTAAACCCCCCTGGTTTAGACCCAACCCCCCCCCTCAACTATCTAAACTATCTAAACTATCTAAACTATCTAAACTATCTAAACCCCCCTGGTTTAGATAGTTTAGATAGTTTAGGTAGTTTAGGCCTCTCCCCCAACTATCTAAACTATCTAAACCCCCCCGGTTTAGATAGTTTAGATAGTTTAGGTAGTTTAGGCCTCTCCCCCAACTATCTAAACTATCTAAACTATCTAAACCCCCCTGGTTTAGACAGTTTAGATAGTTTAGATAGTTTAGGTAGTTTAGGTAGTTTAGGTAGTTTTGGGCTCCACCCGGGACCAACCTCCCCCCTAAACTATCTAAGCCACCCCCCCGGTTTAGATAGTTTAGATAGTTTAGGTAGTTTAGGCCTCTGCCCCAACTATCTAAACTATCTAAACTATCTAAACCCCCCTGGTTTAGACCCAACCCCCCCCTCAACTATCTAAACTATCTAAACTATCTAAACTATCTAAACTATCTAAACTATCTAAACTATCTAAACTATCTAAACCCCCCTGGTTTAGATAGTTTAGATAGTTTAGGTAGTTTAGGCCTCTCCCCCAACTATCTAAACTATCTAAACTATCTAAACCCCCCTGGTTTAGTTTAGATAGTTTAAATAGTTTAGGCCTCTCCCCCAACTATCTAAACTATCTAAACTATCCCCCCGGTTTAGATAGTTTAGATAGTTTAAATAGTTTAGGCCTCTCCCCCAACTAGCTAAACTATCTAAACTATCTAAACCCCCCTGGTTTAGATAGTTTATATAGTTTAGATAGTTTAAATAGTTTAGATAGTTTAGGTAGTTTTGGGCTCCACCCGTGACCCAACCTACCACCAAAATTATCTAAACTATGTAAACTATCTAAACTATCTAAACCCCCTGGCTCGTAATTTAGTATTGGGGGAAGGCCCGGGCTCGTAATTTAGTATTTGGGGAAGGCCCGGGCTCGTAATTTAGTATTGGGGGAAGGCCCGGGCTCGTAATTTAGTATTTGGGGAAGGCCCGGGCTCGTAATTTAGTATTGGGGGAAGGCCCGGGCTCGTAATGTAATATTGGGGGAAGGCCCGGGCTGGTAATTTAGTATTGGGGGGAGGCCCGGGCTCGTAATTTAGTATTGGGGGGAGGCCCGGGCTCGAAATTTAGTATTGGGGGGGGCCCGGCTCGTAAAGTAGTATTGGGGGGGGGCCGGGCTCGTAATTTAGTATTGGGGGGGGGCCGGGCTCGTAATTTAGTATTGGGGGGACCCTTGGTTTAGATAGTTTAGATAATTTAAGTAGTTTAGATAGTTTAGGTAGTTTTGGGCTCCACCCATGACCCAACCTACCACCAAAATGATCTAAACTATGTAAACTATCTAAACTATCTAAACCCCCGGGCTCGTAATTTAGTATTGGGGGAAGGCCCGGGCTCGTAATTTAGTATTGGGGGAAGGCCCGGGCTCGTAATTTAGTATTGGGGGAAGGCCCGGGCTCGTAATTTAGTATTGGGGGAAGGCCCGGGCTCGTAATTTAGTATTGGGGGAAGGCCCGGGCTCGTATTGGGGGATGGCCCGGGCTCGTAATTTAGTATTGGGGGAAGGCCCGGGCTCGTAATTTAGTATTGGGGGAAGGCCCGGGCTCGTAATTTAGTATTGGGGGAACCCTTGGTTTAGATAGTTTAGATAATTTAAATAGTTTAGATAGTTTAGGTAGTTTTGGGCTCCACCCGTGACCCAACCTACCCCCAAAATTATCTAAACTATGTAAACTATCTAAACTATCTAAACCCCCGGGCTCGTAATTTAGTATTGGGGGAAGGCACGGGCTCGTAATTTAGTATTGGGGGGACCCTTGGTTTAGATAGTTTAGATAGTTTAGGTAGTTTTGGGCTCCACCCGGGACCCAACCTCCCCCCCCAAACTACCTAAACTACCTAAACTACCTAAACTATCTAAACTATCTAAACTATCTAAACTATCTAAACCCCGCTGGTTTAGATAGTTTAGATAGTTTAGGTAGTTGAGGCCTCTCTCCCCCAACTATCTAAACTATCTAAACTATCTAAACCCCCTGCTTTAGATAGTTTAGATAGTTTAGGTAGTTGAGGCCTCTCTCCCCCAACTATCTAAACTATCTAAACTATGTAAACCCCCCTGGTTTAGATAGTTTAGATAGTTTAGGGAGTTTAGGCCTCTCACCCAACTATCTAAACTATCTAGACTATCTAAACCCCATTGGTTTAGATAGTTTAGGTAGTTTAGGCCTCTCCCCCAACTATCTAAACTATCTAAACTATCTAAACCCCACTGGTTTAGATAGTTTAGATAGTTTAGGTAGTTTAGGCCTCTCACCCAACTATCTAAACTATCTAAACTATCTAAACTATCTAAACTATCTAAACCCCCCTGGTTTAGATAGTTGAGATAGTCCCCCCAAAAAAGGAACGCCACATAATACATAAAGGTCCCTGCCTCATATATATATATATATATACATATATGTATATATACATATATATATATAGATAAGATATCAACCCCATAAACCCAACCCTACAACGCCCACAAGCTCCAGAACCCCAACGCATCAGCCGGGTGGCCACCAAGTACCCCATCCTCCTGAGGCATGTCGGACTTGTCCAGTTCGGATGGAAAGATCTGGGTGGTAGCCTGGCGGGGGAACCCTAAACCCTTAGACCGTAAACCGCAAAAACCGTCAACCCTAAACCCGAAACCCTATGTGGTAGCCTGGCTTGGGATTCTTTTGGCGTTCAGGGTTCAGGGATTAGGGTCTAGGGTTGGGACTGGCCTTAAACTAGACCCAAGAGTACCTCGGAATAAAAGGTGCTCTTTCGTCGCTGAAAACGGGCCTACAAGAAGACCTAAACCGTAACAAAAAAGGGAATAAGCGCCTACTCTGCGTCCTAGTAAATTTCCTCAACACCAAACCATACATACCCTGAAGCCTTAGAGAGCTCTGAGGGGCGCAGCGAGTTATGAATTGGGGTTTGGAAACTTGTTGCCGCCTTCGCCTGAGCATTTTCGTCGCCATCGAATCCTAAACCGTAAGCCCTAAACTCTAAACCCTGCCCAAGCAAACTAGCCGTGCCTTGCTTGTTGGGGTTCCGGAGGCTTTATCCGGGATTGTGTGGTTTAGAGTTGAGGGTACAAAGTTTGGTGGTTTAGGGTTCCTATTGAGAGAGGTTTCACTGGCTCCTCTTTGCAAGGCCAGCCTTTCCAAACCCTAAACCCAAAAGCCGAACAGGGATTAGGATTTATGCATTGAGGTCTTGGGGCGAAACCTTAAACTCAAGGTCCTGAAACTTCATGCTCGAGGACAGCCTTCCCCTAAGCCCTAAACCCCAAACCCTAAACCCCAAGCCCTAAACTCCAAATCTCCCAAGACTGCGCGCACCTTACTGCTGGCACGTATGTCATCCTCGCTTTCAAAGTGGATGCCCGCCTCCTCATCAAAGCTTCCGACTGTGGGCTTTCCCGGCCCGAAACCCTAACCCAAACTTACAGGTTTAGGGTTTAGGGTTTAGGGTTTAGGGTTTAGGGTTTAGGGTTTAGGGTTTAGGAATATTTTGGGGCTTAGGCCCGGGGCCTGGGGGGGGGGGGGGGTGGGGGGGCGGAGGGACCCGTGGTCCAAGGTTGCGCTGGCCATGCCCACTCAGCTTGCATGATGCTCCATTCTCACTCTCAAATACATGCATGCATACATGCATAGAACATTCCCATACCTGATGTGTATGTCGTACATGATATGATGTGAATACTCCAAATTATATTGTATACTTCAAATGTCAAGCTTGTGACACCTCCGCGAGCGCCACACCCTGGAAGCACGCTTGCCCAGACAACATGTCGCTGCGAACCCCTTTGAGACCCTGGGCCCAAGAGTAGCCGAGGAAGAAAAAAGGTACTATAGGGGCTGAATAATTAGCATAGGCGTTGGGGGGGTTATTATAGTACCATTATATGCACCCGGTTTAGTGAGGGGGGGTACTATTATGCGTAGATCCGGAAAACTTATAGGGGACCCCCCCCTTTGATGAGGGTGGTCCGCAATTATGCGATGTTGCCCCGGCTGGGGGTGCCGGTTAGGGAAAAAAGGGGCTCTGCCCTTGACAAAAGGAAGCTGAAGGCTGGTTTCTTTCGTCTACTAGTACTACTAGCTAGTACTACTACGACGACGACGACCCCAGCCCACATTATTCAGGATCCGCGAAAACCCCAAAATTGTTTGGGGGGGGGGGGCAGTGCTGCGCACTAAACCGAGTCCAACATCAATCCTTTTTGGGCCAAAGGGCTTCTAAGGGACCCTAAACGCTTAAAAAAAAGGAATCAAGCCCTACTCTCGGTCCTAGGACCTGGGCCGTGCAAGAAGCCCCCCGTCCAAGCCCTGAGCGTCAACCCTAAACCCAATCACAAAGATGAACCACGGGGCAGAGTGAACACCCCAAACCCAAGAGCAACACCCCAATTGCCCCGAACCCTAAACAATGAACCAACCACGGGAGGGGGAAGGAGGAGGTGTAAGCCTCCCACCCTAAACCCTTGAACTCTACACCCCTGAACCCTAGACCCCTGAACCCTTCAGCAACCTACTTCGGGCTTGGGGCGTGTTGAGGGTGTAGAGGACTCCATGAGGAGGTTAGGGTTTGAGGGGTTTAGGGTTTAGGGCTAGGGTTTAGGGTTGAGGTCGCTGGCTGCTAGGGTTTAAGAGGGAGGGTCGAAGCTTAAGGAAGATACCTTCTTAACATAGGGATCCTTAATACGATTTGAGGCATATGGGGGTTTAGGGTTTAGGGTTTAGGGTTTAGAGATTAGGGTCGGAATTAGGGGTACCTTAATTGGGGTGTCCCCCTATTTACGTAAACCCCCTTACTTGTGGGGGGTATTCGGCTCTTTGGATGCGAGCTAAGGGGGATAAGGAAGGATCCCTGCAAGGGGCCCGTAATCTTATTCCCCTTTCTAATCCCTGTGTATACCTCACATAGCCCCTACATACCTAAGTAGCCCCTTGATTTTAGGTTGCGAGGTTTCTAGGGGTTCTATACCCTTAGGTTTTGGCGTCCCCTTTTTAAGGATCCCTAGAGGGAACATAAGGGCCTTTGTAGGGGTATATTAAGGGGAACCTTTAGGGGTACCTTAAGGGTAGGAGCCTTTCAGCCCCGAACCCCCCCCCCCCCCGGTTTCGTTCAAGGAGCATGCACCGGGGAAAGAGACGGGCCGACTCCACCTGACGAGGGTTCTGCACCAGAACCTCCTGAACTTTGAAGAGTTTGTGAAAATGAAGGTTCAACCCTAAACCCGCAACCCTAAACCCTCAACCCTCAACCCTACACCCTAAACCCTAAACCCTAAACCCTGGCAATTTCGTCCATAGACTCCCGAGCACACACTTCTCACGGTCAGCGACCGACCTCTGCACACAGGAGCCGGATTCACTTCGGTGCTCAGTTTGGCTACTTAACCTTACTGGTTCTTATTAGGGCGGTGGGTGCCCTGTGACAATATCCCCTAAATATACCCCTTAAGGGGTTGTATAGGTTACCTAATTCCTTCAATTCCTACTAAGAACCATAACCTAACTGCTAATAGAAAGCGGCTATGATAGGGTACTACTGGTAATTACCAAAGTAGGATGTGCTTGGGATTGTTGGGTTTACGGGTAGAGCCCTTGAGTACTCCAGGCGCTGGCCATACTGCAAATTTGTTGGAAGCCTCATCTAGCATGGACATGTGTACGAATCAGTAAGCATGCGTCGCTTCAACATCTTCGGGACTACCCGGAACCCTAAACCCTCCGAAACCCTAAACCCCAAACCCTAAACCCTGAACCCTCTAAACCCTAAACCCTAAACCCGAAACCCTAAACCGCAAACCCTAAACCCTGAACCCTAAACCCCAAACCCTTTACCCTAAACCCTAAAACGCCTCCAGTGCCGTCACCGAGCTCTGCCGACGTGCCTCTCCGGCTGCGAGAGTTCGCATCTTGGAGACTCAGTTTAGGGTTTAGGGTTTAGGGATTTAAAAAGCAGATAGGCCTTATGGTCTAGAGGGCTTTGAAGGTTTGGGGCTTTGGGGTTTTGAGTCTAAACCCCTAAACCCCTCAATCCCTCAAACCGGCAACCCCTACACCCCTAAACTCCTACCCCTAAGCAGCCCCTGCATCCGAGACCAACTGTGAGACCCCTAAAGAGCCCAATACCCCTCAATGACAGAACATTCCTTAAATCAGAATAAGGATCCCTGTATAAGTCAATGTATATTCCTGAAATAAGGAATATCCCTTAAGTAAGGGATATTCTTTAATTAAGGTATTCTTTACTGTGATTAAGGTATATTTCCCTAGTTAAGGTATATTCCTTCCTTTATTTACGGTATGTTTCCTTAATTAAGGCATATTCCCATAATTAAGGTATCTTCCTGAATTACGGTGTATTTCTTGATGAAGGGGTATACTTGGAGGTTCATGGTACTGATAACCCAATGATATTTGTACTTATAACCCACTTATAAGCCCCCTTAAGTGCCCTAACATGGTTATAATTGGGTTATAAGTACAGTTAGAATTGGGTGAATAAGTACAACGAACCTCCAAGTACAAACCCCTAGACCCCTATAGACCCCTATAGACCCCTAAACGCTAAACCCTAGACCCTAAACCCCATACCCTAGACCATATAGACCCTAGACCCGCAACCCATCAACCTCCAAGACCCTAAACCCTAAACCCTAAACCCTAAACCCAGGAGGGGCTCTCTGCACTGTGAGTCTGACCCTGCCGATCGCCGGGAAAAGGCTGCGAGGGCATGGACTTGGTGAAGCCCCTGCCATGCCAGAAGAACTGAGGTTAGGGTTTAGGGTTTAGGGTTTAGGGTTTAGGGTTTAGGGTTTAGGGTTTAGGGTTTAGGGTTTAGGGTTTAGGGTTTAGGGTTTAGGGTTTAGGGTTTAGGGTTTAGGGTTTGGGGTTTGGGGTTTAGGGTTTGGGGTTGAGGGCTTGGGGTTCCTGGGGTGTATAGGGTTTATGGGATTTATAGGGTTCATAGGGTTTAGGGCTGGGATTTGGGGACTTCAGGATCTTTGAAAGGTAGGCATTCCGAAATAGGCGCTGAGCTCCTTGGACACGCATCCGCTTGCAGACTGAGTCTGATTCCTATAAACCCTGAGTTCGCAACAGCCTACTTGGTTGCTCTTTAACCCCAATAAAAGTTGAACTTTTAGCTCCCTTGACATGAAATTAGCGGAACCCTAAAGTGATAAAGTGATAAAGTTGTAGTAAAGTCCCACCTAGCCTACGTCACACTCTCTGACAGGGAAGCTGCATCAGCTCCTGAGTAGATGTTCCTGTGTAACAGGAAAACCGGCTACTCCAGGCAAAGCCCTCAACCCTAAACCCCCCAACCCCCCAGACCCCCCAGACCCCCCAGACCCCCCAGACCCCTCAGAGCCCCCAGACCCCCTAATCCCCACACCCCAAACCCCAAACCCGAAACCCCAAACCTTAAACCCCAAACCCTAAACTCCAAAACCTAAACCCTAAATCCTAAACCCCAAACCCTAAATCCTAAACCCTAAACTCCAAAACCTAAACCCTAAATCCTAAACCCCAAACCCTAAACCCCAAGCCGCTCGAACCGCAGCCTGCTCAAGACCCGGGAGAATCCCTTGGAGAAGGTTCGCGACTTCATCGGCCTGGCGATCCCCAAGAAGTGGAATTCAGGATGAAGGTTTCGGGTCTACCTGAAGGCCCTAGGTTTAGGCATAGGGTTTAGGGTTTAGGGTTTAGGGTTTAGGGTTTAGGGTTTAGGGTTTAGGGCTTAGGGTTTTCGGGTTTAGGGTTTAGGGTTTAGGGGTCTAATGCAGGTGCTCTGTGGGCTCGCTTTCTGGAAGTCTGGCAGAAGACCCTAGAATGGTGCGACACTGGAGCCTTTCGGTAGGGGTTTCGGGTGTAGGGTCTCGGGGTGAGGATGTATCGGGCTCAGGGGCCAGGGCTTGCAATACTTTGTGGGGTTTAGGGTTTAGGGTTTAGGGTTTAGGGTTTAGGGTGGTTTAGGGGTTGGGTTTGTATAGGGTCTAGGGCGCACAGCTTAGGGTCTAGGAATTGTGGGTTTAGGACTTCATTGGGATCTACAATTCGGTTGATAGGGCCTAGGGTTTAGGAAGTTTAGGACTTCTATTAGGGGCGACAGGGCTTCGGAAAGTCTAGCGTTTAGGGTTTCACGCAGGGTTTGGTGAATCCACCCCCCCCGAACCTCACGAAGGTCAGAAAAATCTCAGAGAGCCCAATATCCCCTTAACTAAGGAACACACCATAAATTGTCCAAACCCTAAACCCCAACCCTAAACCCGCTCATATGAGGGAACTGAGGTTTGTAGGGTTTAGGGCTTAGGGATCAGCATCCTCAACCCTCTACCAGCTCCTCCCTCCCTCCCCCCTTTCCGACCCTAAACCCTAAACCCTAAACCCTAAACCCTAAACCCTAAACCCTAAACCCTAAACCCTAAACCCTAAACCCTAAACCCTAAACCCTAAACCGCCCTTTCCGACCTGCTTGTCGTCACAAAGTTTGCCATGACTTCCTCCCGAAGTGACTCGGGCACCATCCTGCGTGCAGGGCATTTGCCCAGAGAGCCCAACACCCCTGAATTAAGGAATATATCTCAAATTATAAAAGGTTTAGGGTTTAGGGTTTAGGGTTTCGGGTTTAGGGTTTAGGGTTTAGGGTTTAGGGTTTAGTTCCTTAGTATGATTTAAGGAATCTTCCTTGACTAAGGGGTCTTGGGCTCTTTCTTTGGGTGGGTCTACAACTCATGGGCCGCCAGAGGGTTTTGGGGGGCTGGTGCTGCCTGGGTTTAGGGTTTAGGGTTTAGGGTTTAGGGTTTAGGGTTTAGGGTTTAGGGTTTAGGGTTTAGGGTTTAGGGTTTAGGGCTAACCCAGACAGAGCCCAATACCCCTTACGGTAAAAAGTTTCCTACATATCATGTAAGGAATAATGCTTAGTATCCAAGGGGGAACCCCTAAACCCTAAACCCTTACAGCGTTGCAGCCTTTGCAGCCGTTTATGCCTGTACATCATCGGCCATTCCGCGCCCGGAGACCTGGTTCTCAAGGTTCCTCCTCTGAACTACCCAGCGAGCCCATAAGGAATATATCCAGAATATTCAAGGTATATTCTCTACCGTAAATCCTAAGGTATATTGAATATACCTTAGGATTTACGGTAGAGAATATACCTTGACTATTCTGGATCCCTTTCTTATCTAACTGATTTTCAGGATCAACCATTTAAGGTCTATGCCTGTTGAAGGGGTATTGGTAGGATCCCTTTGTTGTTTAAGGTATACTCCTTGATTCAGGGTTTTTTTGGGCTTTTGGGGTAGGTATGCCAGCTCGCACGCAATCTGTGCAAGAACTATTTTGAGCCTCTAACCTCGGCAACCCTAGAGCGCAGAATTCAGCGTCCAATGCGTTGCCTTAACTAAGCAGTACACTTGCTTTCCACACTTTCGGGGCATCCCTCAGCCCAAGCCCTATGAAGCCCTAACTAAGAACTCAGAACCCTAAACCCTGAACCCTAAACCCTAAACCCTAAACCTAAACCCTAAACCCTAAACCCGTCCTGCTTGTCATACCTCTGTTCAAGGTGGCACCGCTCGGGAGCGCCTGCGAACCTGTCAGGTGTCAGAGATAGAGTTTGGGTTTAGGCTACACCCGAAGGGTTTAGGGTTTCGGGTTTAGGGTTTAGGAAAAGCAGAACCCACACTTTGCGTCAAAGCCACCAGTCGAGGCTGTAGGATCCCGGTACTTCTCCTTGGGCTGGTCGAAGCGCCTGACAAGGTTCAGAGCTTCCGGGCTCTAGGGGTTTAGGGTTTAGGGCAACAGGGGTTTAGGGTTTAGGGCACAGGGTTTAGGGTTGAACGGTTTTTGGCATCGGGTTTGAGGCTTAGTGCTTTTTGTTTTTTGCGTTATCATTTGTTTCCGGCTTCCCAATGCTCCAACAAGTCCAAGTCCAAGACGTTCATCGCACTCCTTCTTCCTAAACCCTAAACCCCTATAGAGCCTAAACTCTAAACCCTAAACCCTAAACCCTAAAACCCTAAACCCTAAACCCTAAACCCGAAACCCTAAACCCTAAACCCTAAACCTCACAGTCCTCCTCCGCGACTGTAATGCAGGCAGCTCCCGGAATGCCACCCTGAACCTTACACCCTAAACCCTAAACCCTAAACCCTAAACCCTAAACCCTAAGCCCTAAACCCTAAACCCTAAACCCGTCCCAGAAAGTGAGCAGCGAAGCGTAAGAAACTCTACGCCAAAGGCCTGAGTCATGCAGAGCGGATACCTAAACCCTACTTGAAGGTTCATGTTACTCATGAGTTTAGGGTTGAAGGTTTAGGGTTTAGGGACTGTACTTATAACCTAGTTGCAAGGGACTGTACTCATAACCTAGTTGCAAGCATGTTAGGGTACTTAAGGGTTCTCAAGTGCACTTGTAATTGGGCTAGAAGCTTCAAGGAAGCACCAACATTTGGGGCTCAGGATCAGATTGTGTCATGTTGAGGAGCCAGGACTTCATGATCTAGCATGAAACATGGCCCTAAACCCTACATAAACCCTAAACCCTAAACCCTAAACCCTAAAACCCTAAACCCCAAACCCCAAACGCTAAACCATTGTTATCGGAAAGGCAGTACAGTAAAGACCTGGAAGGCACGGGTCTTGCTGCTGGGAGTGCAGGAGGTCAGGGTCCGTGATGGAGGACATGCCGAGCCATTGTATTTAGGGTTCAGGGTTTAGGGTTTAGGGTTTCAGCCCGCCTGGCCCCGAACCAGTGCGCAGCAAAGAGGAGCCTCAGCAAGCAGTCTGAGTTTCATGGATTCCCGTTTAGGGTTTAGGGTTTAGGGTTTCGGGTTTAGGGTCTAGGGTTTAGGGTTTAGGGTCTAGGGTTTAGGGTTAGGGGTTCCTCTAGGTTCCCCCCCATAATTAAGGCTATTTAGGGCTAACTAAGCCGAATTAAGGCTTTTTTGTAAGGGGGCAACCTAGCGGTAAGTTAGGAGTTTGCAGACTCCTGCACTAATCCCATCCCCCTAATAATAAACCTTCCCCCTACCCCCTAAGATTAAATACCCCCCCCCCCCCCCCCCGCCCCCATTATACTACAACATAACTCGGAGCGGACGGTGCATCACGACCATAGGGCCCGGACACTAATTATTATTCCCCAATGTGTGACTCGTTGCCTGCCTTCCCAATTATGTTCGTTCAGAACTGGGCCACATTCGGGGTGCTCGTTTTTTGGTCAATTTTTGAGCCTGCGTGTTACAACCGGATCTTTATAAGCCCTGAGGCCTAGCACGGCAATTGGCCCCGGCAGGCCCCGGCCGAGGCGGCGTTCGGGTTTAGGGTTTAGGGTGTAGGGCATAGGGCATAGGGTTTAGGCTTTAGGCTTTAGGGTTTGCTGCGAAATGGCGCACAAGCTGTGAAGGTTGGGAGGCAGACTCGCTTCGAAAGCTGCGTGAAATGCGAAGAGTAGCCATGGCCCGATAGACACTTTTATTTGACAAACCCGAAACCCACGCTAAACCCTAAACCCTAAACCCTGAGTCTAGGGCCCAGTTCAAGGTTCACGACAGCAAGGGGTCCCAAATATAGATCCCCAAATAGTAGGATCCCCTTGTAGTAAGGACCCCAAACAAGGTACCCAACTCATTTCAGAAACCCCCCATCATTTAGGGGGTGTGTCGAGCTTAGTGCCAGGCGTGTCCGAGGCCATCTGAGATGTAACCGATCTGTCCATGCGGGGGCGGTTGCCGACTCCCGCACTCCCCGTTCCATTGCTCTCCATTGCAACAGAGGTTGAGGGTTTTAGGGACGAGGGTTTAGGGAAGCCTATGCCTCTCTATCTACGGTGAAGCTAGGCTTTCAGGGGGTTTAGGGTTTAGGGTTTAGGGTTTAGGGTTTAGGTAGAACCTTGCCTTCATTGGACTGTGGCTGGCTAAGAGGTGGGCTTGGTATTCAGATACTGCGCTTGAGCTACCACCTCGGCGAGCAGACCCTAAACCTTAAACCCTAAACCCTAAACCCTACATCCTGAACCCTAAACGGCCCTACTTCGCAACCTTCGATTCTTGGGTTTAGAGGCTTATGGCCGTTTAGGGTTTAGGGGTTTTGGGTGTAGAGGTTTAGGCCCTAGGGTTGAGGGTTCAGGGGTCCAGAGGTTTCGGGGTTCATAGGCGGTTCAGGGGTCTAGTCTTAAGGGTGCGGCGCACGCGGTGCACACTGCAAACTCTTCTGACATTGATTCCGACTTCTTGTCTACGAGCAGCTACTTCTTCGGCCACCAAGAACAAACCAAACTGGCCCTAAAGCGGATCCTAAAGCTTAAGTCCTAGTGGTTAAAGGGCCCTAACCCGCCCCCCCCCACCCCCCCCGTCCCTCCCCCCCGCCCCCAAGCCTCCACTCCACTCCAATCCACTCCACGCCACCCCACTCAGCCCCACTCCACGCCACTGCCAGAACCCTAGCACACTCAACCCGAAACCCTAAACAAAAAGCACCCCATTTTCCGTCGCTCCCAAGCAACTCAGCGGCGCCCCCAGGTGGTTGCGCACCAATTTAACGGTACCCTACACCCTAAACCGCTAACTTAAATCCTACACCCTGATCCTAAACCCTAAACCCTCAACCCTAAACCCTCAACACTAAACCGTGAACCCTAAGCCAGACACCCTAAACCCTAACCCCAGTTAGGAAGCCTACGTTTGGTTCATTTATGTGTCGGGTTAAGGGGTTTAGGGGTTTAGGATTAGGGACATAAGGTTTAGGGTTTTAGGGTTTAGGGTTTACTAAGCCAACAGGGCTTCCAAGTATTGGGCTCCTTGGCAAGTGTACCCTAAACCCTAAACCCTAGACCCTAAACCCTAAACCCTCTTTCCAAGATTTTCCAAGTACTCAGAACCTACTTACGAAGTCCCGCGCTGCTCCGAGAAGGAGCTACAAGGGCTCCCAGGCTTTTGAGATTGCAGGGTTTAGGGTTTAGGGTTTAGGGTTTAGGGTTTAGGGTTTAGGAACTATAAACACTAAACCCGCCTGAGCTCATGCCACTGCATGGTACTGGTGGCACTCACACCGTACAGGGGAACAGGGTTCCACTCTCGGAAGAGGGTCCCCTCTTTGATGTCAGGGCTGTGGCTGCGTAGGGTTTAGGGTTCAGGGTTTAGGGTTTGAGGTTTAGGTTTAGGGTTTCGGGTTTGGGGTTTAGGCTCTAGCGATTAGGGCTTGAGGTTTGAAGTTTAAGAGAGGTTCTGCCGCGCCGGGTTTTAGAAGGGACCCAGTTCCGAGGCCTAGCACATCTTTCCTGGCACGCAGATGAGGAATTCCGAAACAAGCGCTGGTGCAGAGTTTCGTGGGGGGGCGGGGGGTTCTTGAGAAATAATATGCAATATTTTTGCTTCGAAGGGGTTTCAAAGCCTAAACCCTAAAACCCTAAAACCCTAAAACCCTAAACCCTAAAACCCCAACAAAGGGAATAAAGGGCCTACTCTGGGTCCTAGACTCTTCTTAGACACTGCAGCCTAGACTAAGCCTTGAAGCCTAAAGGGTTTATGTTTAGGGTTTAGGGTTTAGGGTTTAGGGTTGAGGGTTGAGGGTTGAGGGTTGAGGGTTTAGGGTTTAGGGTTTAGGGTTGAGGATACAGGGCAAAGGATTCAGGGCACCCCCCACAAGCCCTAAAGCCCTCGATGGCCACCACAACCTCTGAATTAAAGCGCGATCCCTTCTATCCATGCTTTGTTGGTTCAGGGTTGAGGGTTCAGTTTAGGGTTTAGGGTTTAGGATTTAGGGTTTAGGGTTTAGGGTTTAGGGTTCAGGGTCTAGTGAATATCCTAGGGCTTAGGGTTTTTTTAGGGCCGAGGGTTTGGGGCAGAAGGCTCAGAGCGCCGGCGTGGGTTTCCAGATCTGGGCCCCTCAGAATCTCACATGGTCCTGTGCAGGATGTGGAGTCCACAAGTTTGGAGCTTCAGGGTTTAGGGTGTCTGGGGTTTGGGGAGTTTGGGGTTCAGGGAGTTTAGGGTTTAGGGTGTTTAGGGTCTATAGGGTTTATGAAGGTGTTTAGGGTTTAAGGGGGTTGGGGTTTGGGGGTTTAGGTTGTTTAGGGCTTTAGGTTGTCTAGGGCTTAGGGGTTTGGGGTTTGGAGCATTAGGATTTCGGGCAGTGGGACCCTTAAACCTACGGTCAGTACTTGTGGCTTGCCCGCGCCTATTGTTCCCAGACCCGCTTGGGCTTGCAAACTCAAGCTTCCGCGCCCACGCTTGCAAAAACCCGAGCTCTCCGAATCTCCAAACAACAGCCAACCACCCGCTGGCACAGCCTGAAACAACTGCGATTTTACAACAATTTGGAACCCTTAAATTAGGCCCCCGAATAATACAAATCCCGTGTGATAAGGACCCCTATAAGGTACCCTACCTTCGGAAACCCCCAAACTGAGAAAACAAGTAGGCGCTAGTTCATGGTTGGGATAGCATTAAAAATTTAAGGGTTTCTTCCTTATTGGGTGTTTAAAGTACCCTCAAATATGTACAATGTTGTTTAACTATGACAAAGGGCACAGGGATTTAGGATTCAAGGACAGGACACATCCGCCTCGAGGAGCACTCGTCTTCCCCTCCCTACCATGGCTACCCTCTACATGAGCAAAATGCCTGGGGATGTTCCCCCTTATACTAACAGTCCTTAATAGGAATTCTAGTACCCCTTATATAATCCCTATTGAGGATTGCTAGTATCAAGGAGAACATCCCAAGCTATGCACCACAAGTCAGACCTAGGACGACTGTAAACTTGTAAGGTCGGTTCCTTACTTAAGGGGACATTCGGTTTAGGGTTTAGGGTTTAAGGTTTAGGGTTTGGGGTGTAGGGTTTAGGGTTTAGGGGAGCTCCCTAAGGAAGGTTGCCCCCTGCCTGCTCTTCTTCACACTCAGATGCGAGGCCTGCGCAAGGGGGCCAGTGTCTAATGTAGTTTCATGAGCCCTGGACATGGTCCCTAACTTTTCGTAAAGGGTTCCGAAGTATGGGCCCTTCTGTTTGATAGGGTATATACTTATACGGGGTACATAAAGGAAGGCGTCCCCTTTTAGGGGCCCATACTGAGGGACCATGTATCTACCCTAAGACAGCGACCCACTACACTCCACTGGGCATCCTCGGCGCCCCTAAAACCCCAAACCCTGAACCAAGCCCCCTAAGCCCTGATCCCTAATAAGCCCTAAGCCAAGTTCAGGGAGGCGGTTCTGGGTTTGTATATATAGGAGAAGCTTTTGATATGAGCCCTAGGATGAAAATACCAAGATAGCAAGAGTCAAACCTTTATTCTGTTTAGTAGTTGACTTTTTGATATGCGTATGCTTTCATTGTATTTGCACATATTATTACATGTATATATACACACATATTTATTTGTGTATTTATCAACATGTATAATTTCGTCGCATAGAAATATATTGTCCCCCCCCCCCCACCCCGGTATCCTTCTCAGGTACCGGCCTCGAATGATTCGCTCTACTGTCCCTTCACACTCCCAGAAGCGGATGCCCCGAAAAAAAATCTGCAGACTGGTTTTTTTCGAAAGTCCGAAGGGCTGAAAGTGCTGTACTGTCCTAAAAAAACCAATCCCAGAAGCCCAAAATGCCGCACTGTCCCTAAAAAACCTAAAAAAATCAATTCTGCTGACCGCTCACGAAAAGATTGGTTTTTAGGGACCGTCCAGGAAGGCCCGAGGCGCCGAGCGTGCTGTACTGTCCCTAAAGAACCAATCTCAGACCTCTGCAGACAGGCCCTCAGGTTTTTCCCCACCCTCGGTGTGGGGTTGTTAGAATTTAAACTCCACCTTTTTTCTCGCCCGGATCTCTCGCTGGGTCTGCTCCTTGCTCATCCCTGGAGTGCCCAACCCCAGTGTGTCCCTTGCCCAGATTTGAGAGTGCTCCTACCCCTAAGTGCCCAACGCAAGAGTGTCCCTGGAGTGCCCAACCCCAGAGTGTCCCTTTAGTGCCCGCCGCCAGAGTGTCTCTACCCAGAGAGGCTGGGGATGTTCGAAGTCGAGTAACCCAGGGACAGCACAGCATATTGAAGGCCTGAGGTGCTGAAACCAATCCCAGAAGCTGAAAACGCCGTAATTACTGTCCCTACAAAACCTTCAAAACCAATTTTGGTGGCCTCTGCAGACAGGCCCTCACGAAAAGATTGGTTTTTTAGGGATAGTACAGCACTTTGAAGGCCTGAGATGCTGAAAGCGCAGCACTGTCCTACATGGATGCTCTGGCCACTCGCACGCTGGTAACACGGATTTAATGGAAAAACCCAAGCAAAACGCATGTTTTCGCTGAGAACACGTCTTACCTTCCAAGATTGATAATGTCACATGTCAAAGCCCCAAGTAAGCATGCACTTTGTGGCAAAACTGCTTCGGTGACCCTTTTCCGCAAAAAGCCACAACATCGCGTTTTGTAAACAGGCCTTGCAGGCCCCCCCCCCCCCACCCCCGCGTGCTGAAGTTTACCTCGCCTGCCAGTGTTTTCGACATGCCAAGTAAGGAAAAGCGCGCAGACCGTTACGAGATCGTTACCAACAACAAGAACAAGAAGAAGAAACAGAAAAGAAGAAAAACAGGGACGGGAAACATCGCGCGAGCTCTTAACGGCTACCTGAGAGGCAATTTCTGCAGCACGTGTGCGAAATTCTTGCAGCCAAAGTGTCTCGGGAACACTTAGGTAGATGAACGGTTTAAGGAGGCCGTATATAATATTCTGCAAAAGCTTGCACGTTGGGACAGGAGCCAATGCTCAACCT